GATAGATAGATAGATAGAGAGAGGTAGACAGATCGGGTTCTAAGGGAATATTTGTTGGCCGAGCCTACGGACTCAGAGAAACACATGTTAAACTCGGCCTTGTGCCACATACATTCCTCGTGGGGGGACTGTTAAATATCGGACTGACGATTGCGTCTTGCATGAAACGGAATGTCGCCTCTAAGTGTTGACTTCAATGGTCATTTTATATATACATATATATATATATATATATATATATATATATATATATATATATATATATATATATATATATATATATATATATATATATATATATATATATATATATATATATATATATATATATATATATATATATATATATATATATATATATATATATATATATATATATATATATATATATATATATATATATATATATATATATATATATATATATATATATATATATATATATATATATATATATATATAATGAAGAAATTTGGAAAAAACAAACAAAAATCCTTAAATGTAGTTAAATGAAAAGAAATATCGACGTCTGACGTTTCGGTTTATTAAACCTTTTTTTTAACACAATATTCATCAAATATTCAGTTCAATATTCTGAATATTGGACAAAAAACACTTTTTTAAACCGGAATAAGACTTGTCTTTATTTCCATTAAATAATAACTGATTATTGTTTGTTTTTTCAAAAAAGGTTTAATAAACATATATATATATATATATATATGTATATATATATATATATATATATTTATTCAAATATTATAACATAAGCATATTATAACATCACCACAAAATTAGCTATTCTGTTTCAAAACTTCTGCTGTCTTGTAAAGTTATGGTATTAGTTGCAATCAACACCCTAACTTGACAAGACACCAAACAAGCTGGTGTGGATAAAATCCATTCCCATTAATGGCTGCATAGTCCAGGATTAAAAGCGGAAATTGAAGATTTTATTCTAGCTGCACAGGATTAATACTTGCTAACTTGAAATTATCAATCGTACTGAAAAATTGTATTGACTCCAGATGCAGATTCTGTGATAAATATCCAGAAACAATTGATCATCTTGTATCAGTTTGCACGGTATTCTCATCTTTTGACTATAAAACTCCGCATAAAAGGTTGAGCCAATGAATGCATTGGAAAATCTGCAAATGGGAAGGAAACTGCAAGAAATTGGTATGAACACCAACCAAACCCGGTTACAGTCATAAAACCTGTAATAATTTTATGGGACGTTAAAATACACACAGGAAAAATCAGAGCTGATCTCGCAGACAATGTGATCAAAGATCATAAAAAACAGAAGTTTTCTTATTGACATGGCAATTACTACAGATTACCAAAATACCAAGAAATGGTTCTGATAGATTCACTGAAGATATTCCTTGTAGGCCATGTCTTAAAGAAATACATAAACTTGTTCTCACAAGCACAGCTCACACTTTACAAAAGGGCATATCTATGTAAAATCTGTACGTTTTTCGGTTGATTTATTTTTTACTTCTTTAAAACAAATGCTCAGGGGAAAATGTCATTATGCCATTTCTGTCCTTAAGTTTCTGGGACACGGAAGGAAATGAATATAACACAGAAATCAAGGGAAATAATAATAATAATAGTAATAGTAATAATAATAATAATAATAATAATATTAATAATAATAATAGTAATAATACCCATCAGTGGCTACGTAGTGCAGGGTTGAAAGCGGAAACTGAAGGTTTTATCCTTGCTGCGCAGGACCAATGCTTGCTAACTAGGAATTATCAAGCACATATACTAAAATATTGTGTTAGCCCAAAATGCAGATTCTGTGATAAATATCCATAAACGATTGATCATCTTGTATCAGGTTGCACGGTGTTGGCACCCACTGAATATAAAACCCGACATGACAGAGTGGGCCAATATCTGCACTGGAAAATCTGCAACTTCTACAGGAAGGAAACTGAAAGAAACTGGTATGAACACCACCCAGACCCGGATACGGAGATAGGACCTGTTACAATTCTATGGGACTACACAATACACACTGACAGAACAATCAAGACCAATCGGCCAGATATTGTTATTAAAGACCATAAACAAAAACGGTGCCCCCTCATTGACATGGCAGTCCCTGCTGACTGCAATGTATCTTTGAAGATATTCAAAAAGTTGTCAAAATACAATGACCTTGAAATAGAAATCTCGAAAATGTGGCATATGGGAACATCAACAATCCCTGTTGTAGTTGGAGCCCTAGGACTGGTTGGAAAAAGATTGCAGTAGACTAATTGAAGGGATTCCTGGAAGTCCATGCCTCAAGGAGATACAAAAATTGTTCTGACAAGTACAGCCCACACCTTACGAGGGGCTTTATCTATGTAATTTAATTTTTTTTTTTTTTTTTTTTATTTTTTTTCTTTGTCAGTGGAAAGTGTCATGACGCCATTTCTAACCTTAGGTCCCTGGGCGGACCCGGAAAGAAATGTGTAAACGCCAGAAATCAAAGAAAATAATAATAATAATAATAATAATAATAATAATAATAATAATAATAATAAAAACATCATTCAACACAACATGGCATTTGAATCTTAAGTGATTGGAATATATTTTTTTTATTTTGATGAATTAAGATTGACTACACTAAATATCCTGTTCAGTATTACAAGTTTTCTTGTCACTTGTCCGACGATAACCACTTTGGCATGTCCCCTAGAGGCTGACCTAATGTCCATCACTGTTCATGAGCGAGAGTAGTTTTGTTTAAAGGATGAGGCAACCTGGGTGACTTGGGAGCCAGAGTAGATAGTTCGACCTGAAGGGATTTCTAACCGAGCTCCCCCTGCAGGCTTATACGCTACTTAATCAAAACCTGTCACCATGTCGCAGACATCCATAGTTCTAGTATACCCTCAACAGACTGGATGTCTGTTGAGGGTATACTAAGCTTTCTATATTTGTACACCAACATAATTTTGCTGGTGTGTCACCCCTCAATTAATAATGATAGTTACTATTCGCTGTGACATGCTGATCCAAACTGATAACGGCCAATAGATCTGATATAGTAAGGAAGCAAAGGACTTTTCTACTCATCGACATGTCTGTCTCTACCGAAAAAGACACACCTCAGTGAAAACTATGGAAAACACTCTGAAAGTTAGAAAGTGAGAAAAGGATGGATTAATTTGTTTTTTTTTTACGGTTTATCAACCTCTTGCAAGGTTTTGAAGCCAGAAAGTGTTTCAATATTGTAAGAATTTATTTTTGGGGAAACAATAAAGATCTAATGATACAAGTTTTACTAATTAACCCATAGCTAGTGGGGAAAGAGGTGGATTCATACTTTCCTCAAGATTATTTGTGAACCCGACTGGAATTGCAACTCGTTCTGGTCAAGAAAGAGTAGAAAAAACCCACCAACAAAATTCCTGACTTTATCAAAGTAGAAGAGTTCCAGAAGATTCCTGTCCTTTGCAATTATCATATATTAAGGAGGACTCCACCTATCAAATAAATCCGTCATACCATTATGATGGCCCCAGGTACAAAGGAAGGAATCGATTGCATGAATGAACAAAGCAAGACATTAAGGATAAACTCTGAATATTAATTCTTCTTCTTTTTCTTCTTATTACTACTACTACTACTACTACTACTACAACTTCCACCACCACCACTGCTACTACTACTTCCATTATTCTAAAATATAATTAAATTAAAATAAATAATAAAAAAAAACCCCGAAATGTGCACAGATGAATTCATATTTTGATGGCGGCTCGTAAACTTCTCCTCCATTCTTTTCTATATTTTTCATTGTTTCGTATTTTATTCTTGAGAGAAAAAAATGCATTTTCAGCCTTTGTTACTCTTTTTTTTCAGCTATTTGTCAATTTATGAATTCAATATTTTTTCCTCTCGGCGTAGCGTCGCTCGTTTCTTTTGAGAGATTTCTATAATTTTGATTTGTTTATAATTTCGACTTGCGGCAGACAAGCAACTCTAAATTAGAAAATAAAATTTCAAAAAAAAAAAAGAATAGAAAAAATATTGAGAAGGGAAAAAAAACCGCGTAAAGTGGAAATGTGACTTTGTCACTGAACTGCAAGGAACCAGATCTTTTTTTTTCTTCTTTTTGCTTTCTTAAAAGGCATTGAGAGAAAGAACCCCAACAAGGTCGACATTTCTTTTAGAAGCTTTTACTCTTTCAGGTACCATCTCAAATCATGTAAATTAGATCGCTTTAACTTATGAAATGAATGTGCAGAATCGTGTGGTTCGCGGCTCGGAGCGTAAAATTGGCAGGTTCGAATTCAAGTTCATTACGTTCACTTTCGTGCAAATAACCTTGACAAAGGCATGAATCCATCTCTTCTAGCTGTTAGTTAAATAGTTGGCCAGATTCTTTAGTTTTGGTTGGTAACCAGCCCAGGAGAAGGGTAACTCGGAATTCAAAACCAGTTTGTGTATGGTTTTAGCAACCCCATCTCCCGGAAAATCTATTTGTCATGGAAGCCAGAGCAGCAACGCCTAACGTATTGAGGCTTTGGCTCCAGACTCCACAGTTAGAGTGTGCACAATATGAAAGAGAGTATTTATTAAATATTCAAAATGTCCGCCATATTATTGACTGAGAAGCTGGATTTTCTCGCATTGGATTATTCTCTTGACCCATCATCTTGGACGATACAAACGGATTTTCTAGGCAAGCATAGTTTGTTTTTTTTTTTTTTATCCCCTGACCCATGGAGGGGCATCATGTGTACTGCAGCCGCAGTAGAAGTGGTGTTTCTTGGGCAAGATAGCCTGACGGAGCCCAACCCTTTTCAGGCTGGTTTTAAATTCAGAGTTTTTCCTTCTCCTAGACCGGTTGCCGCCCAAGGCACCCAAGGCTATAGAACCTAGTCTGTCCTGCTTGGGGGTGGGGAGAAAAGTATCATACTGATGTAATAGAATAACCTGTTCCCTCCCATGAGGGACTACACTATAGTATCTGTAAGTCAATGGACTACTGTTGTCGAAGTCTCTGCCTTCGGGACGTGGCTGTACCGAGTTAGAGAGATCCGAACTGCGGAGATTTTTTCCCACTCCAAGTTCTCCACTGCCATGTATCCTTGAGGACACCTGTGTATGAATTTCTGGGTATTATAAACCTAATGTCTTCAGTAAAACTTTTTTTTTTACCAGCAATGCTGAATATATACATGGAATACTTTGAGAAAATGGCATTAGAATCTATATCTCTAAAGCCAACTCAATGGTTAAGGTACATAGATGACACCTTCATACTCTGGCCACACCAGGAAGATGTTCAGGTTCTACTGCACCATGTGGAAATAAGACCTTCGATACATTTCACGATGGAGAAAGAGAGTAACAACACACTCACATTCCTGGATGTTCTAATATCTCGAACAGAGCATGGGTTCAAGACATCTGTATACCGTAAACCGACATTCACCGGACAGTACCTCAATTTCAACTCCCACTATCCAATCTGCATAAAGAAAGAGTTCGTCGGCTGCTTATAACACCGAGCAAAAGTCATAAGTGGCGACCCAGAGACTTGGTCAGTATAAGTAGTACCCTACAATGTAACAACTACCCTGCATACATGGCAGCAGCCCCCCAAAACTGGGATAGGCGGGTACAAGAGGAGGAGGACAACAACACTCAGAAAACAGTCTGCCTGCCTTATGTGAAGGGGTTATCAGAGAAAATGCAAAGGATCTGCGGTCCATATAACATCAGAGCAACCTTCAAAAACTGGACGACACTTCGCAGATATCTCTCCCAAGCCCCCCCACACACATAGAGGAGAACATGACTAAAGACTGTGTGTACGCTATCCCGTGTAAATGCGGAAAGAAATATAAAGGGGAGACAGGCCGCCCCCTTAAGGTAAAGCTTCAAGAACACCAGAAAGCTGTAACATGAGGGGAACTAGAAAAATCTGGCGTGGCTGACCACATATGGAGAGAAAAGAGAGTTCACCGCCCTCTGTGGGATCAAGTCAAGATCATAAACAAAATACACCATTGGAAAATTCGTAAACTTAAGGAATCAGCACATATGCTAGTCCACAAAAATCTCCTGAGCCGACCAAGCATAGAAATGAATACAATATGGGAACCAGTAATAAGGAGTGCCAGAGAAAAGCAATAATAACAACAAAAATTGCAATATGAGCTCTGGTAAAAACATGATGCAGCAAAATTTACAATTTTTATTATAAAATGTAATGTTGATTTGTGCTAAGAAGTTCCCTATTTGCCCATAGTTGTGATCCCAACAGGTGCCACTACTCCGGGTCAGGGAACCGCAGATAAGGGGTGGTTCCATGGTCCTTAAATATTTCAATCAACTGATCAGTAGCCTTGCTGCCGGATGTAGTTTATCGTCATACCCAGGTCGCATTAACTCTAATAAAGATTATTATACATTAGTTCTGTGTATATATGGCTTAATAAACTTTGTTTCATATCCCAAAATTAGGAGCCAGGAAAATATAAAAAATATATGATTAAAGTAAAATAAACTAAAGATCATTAAATAATAAAAAAAAAATGCATGGACAATAAAAAGAAGAAAATGGGGGAAAAAATAAATGAATAAAAAACGAAAGATCAGAATCGTAAACCGAATTGGAAAGGGACGATTTAACGCTTCTCAAACTCCTCATAGGTCCCCCCGTTGGCCATATATATATATATATATATATATATATATATATATATATATTTATATATATACACGTTTCATTTATTGTTGTCTATTTATATTTTCATTTATACATTATATCGTTTCATTAAATAAAAAATAACATTTACAAGTGTTGACACGATTTATTTATGTCATTGTTATGTTATGCGCGTGTTCATCGTTGCTTAGTGATCCACTATGTAAACATAACAATGACAGACTATATCATCACTGTCGTGTCCATATATTGTTTGATATGTTTGTATTTACATCTTTGATAATGGCTTAGTAAGCCGAAAGCTTAGATTTTATTAAAAAAATAATGGATAAATATTGTGAATTTCTTTTTCGGTAAATGATAATGTTACCAAACTTATCAGAAGATACGAAAAATTTTACATAAAATAAATAGACAACACTTGTCTATATTATTTAATGAAACGTGTATAAATATATATATATATATATATATATATATATATATATATATATATATATATATATAGAGAGAGAGAGAGAGAGAGAGAAGAGCAAGAGGAAAAAAAACGATTCTAAGCCGACGCGTTTCGTCCTCTGAGGGACTTTATCAAGGCACAAATTTGCCTAAATAAAGTTCAGCGGAAGAAATGCATCGCTGAAGAATAGCTTTTCCTCTTGACTTTTTATTCCTTTTCTTCCTTTATAGATACACTAGCTGAATATAATTTATATATATACACTAACACAGACACACACACTCACACACACACTCACACACACGTACACACACATATATATATGTTGCGCTTTTAGTAAATATAGTGAGGATCGGCTGATACAAGAAACTTATGGTCAATCTAAGAGAGCCCAGTATTCCCTGCTATTTAACCCATAGTTTGAAAAAAAAAAAACTGATTCATGCCTTTTCAGCAAAATTATCGCGACTGAACGAAACAGCATCAAGTGTGAACACTCGACAGTTTTACTTTTCGCACCAGCAGCCATTACCCTCTATGTGTATGTGTATGTGTATATGCATATATATATATATATATATATATATATATATATATATATATATATATAATTTAAAAAGTTTGAAGAAACCCCAGAATTAGCATGGAAGAACTTCACAGAAGAAAAAAATGAAAAAACACTTTTACAATCATTGAAAAAGAATGGAATCAATTGTCAAAATTATAATTTGAGAAACTTTGCAACGAATCCCCCAAAAAATTGTCTTGCAGTAATCAAGGCTAAAGGAGGATATTTTGACGAGAGCAAAATGCAATCATAAAATTTTTTTTTTCTTTTTTCCATAATAAAATTTATAATAAACATTTTCCACTTTGTCATATATTTTTCTTATATATATATATATATATATATATATATATATATATATATATATATATAACAAATGAGGGAAAAAAACAGATGGAGTATAATTGAGCTTAATTTTCTATTTACCGTAGAACTGACATTTAATTAGTTGATCAAGACAAACCCACAAGTCTATTTTTAATTCTGACCATGTGTTTTTTACCCACCTCTCTCTTTCGGAAAAGAGTTAACCTCTTGCTTTTCACCAGTCACTTACTATTCGCCTGAAGAGGTACAACGTAGTATCGAAACACGAAAGCTATTGTGTAGGGATTTCAACATGTTTTTGTTCTAATATTTAAAATAATAATAATAATAATAATAATAATATATATATATATATATATATATATATATATATATATATATATATATATATATATATAGGGGGTGCTGAAAGATTCTGATATGATTAACCATCTTAATTTTCACACTGCATCGGATATATATTTAAGCAATTAATAACGAATTTCCAATGCTATATTATATTTGATTACTATAAACGTTTTTCTTTTTAGTGACCACATGCGTTTGAGTAGAATAACTTGTTTTTTTAACAGCGAATTCAATGCCTACCGGCCTAGAGATCGAAAGTCTCCCTAAAGAAAATGTTCTTTTTGGGAGAAATTGACCGGTAGATATTCGTTTTACTGGGCTTCTACTCAAATACGTGTATTCAGTAAAATATAGCCTTCTTAGCAAAAATATATAAATATATATATATATATATATATATATATATATATATATATATATATATATATGTATGTATATTCATGAATTATTCATACAAAAAGCAAATACAAAGGTTAATGATTTAATTGGCGAGAAATTCATCGTCGCGAACAATTGAAATAATATACAAAAACCCCGAACCTGTTTATGCATGAAAAGATCCTTGTTTCTATAAATTTCTGTTGCATGAGTTCTTATTTTTACAAGCTTTCGTCTGTTCCTACAGACATCCTCGGGTATGGAATAGATTTTGTTCTTGTTTTTTCTCTCAGTAATAAGAGGACAACGAAAATATATGTATTGTTGTAATCCGAAAAATGCTATTAGAAATGAGTTATTGTTTTTGGAGCGTGCTGTCGCAACGCTGAGTTTGAATTTAAAGTTTACAATTGTGCGTTCTTATACAAATATGGTGATAAGTGAATTCTTTTGTACTGGTAAATTTTCTGTCAAAGTGGCATGAACTTTATTGTTCAATAATTACAGTAATGTCGCATTTATTATCCAAAAGTTGCATTTGGATCAGTTATTTTAATTTCAATAAAGGTGCAATCAATTTACAAATTCATGAATTATTCATACAAAAAACAAATACAAAGGTTAATGATTTAATTGGCGAGAAATCCATCGTCGCGAACAAATATATATATATATATATATATATATATATATATAGACACACCCAAATACACTACAAAAATACAGATACAAAAATATATGTATAATGTTTCAAAAGTCGCGTATCATGGGAATTTCAAGATCTAATTTTGAAGCTAATTTTAAGAGGGTCGCATCATACACAAGATAACGAATTTTCTGCTTGCCTGGCCACGTCTCGTTGATCAAAACTATATATCCATTAACTGTAGTAAAAAGTACACCTTTATTTAAAATTAACATCGCACGTTACACGATATATATATATATATATATATATATATATATATATATATATATATATATATATATATTTTTTTCATTGTTGAAGTGTTACCTGATGATCCGAAATCCTTTAAAAGGATTTTGGTGAAATAAATTATTGTAATGGTACCTTAAAGTGGTCTGTTTTTCATTAAATATATATATATATATATATATATATATATATATATATATATATATATATATATATATATATATATCATCTCGTATATATATATATATATATATATATATATATATATATATATATATATCAATATAATTAGGAGCAGTTTTAAAATTGATGGTAAAATGGGCCCGTTCCATCCTCAAGCAAAACGGAGCCCATTTTACTTTCAACTCAATTTAATTTAAAAGATTATATTGAAGTTTTCGGTTCTAGTTTTGAAACATGAGACCTCTTATGTAAAGATTTGGAATCATATTTTAAATAAATAATTACATTTATGCTCTACTTTTGTATCGAGCACTATTTTTAAAAATAATAACTAAAATACTAAGGGACTTTTTGATTATTTACCTAACCAGTTCCTTCCTATTTTCTATATATTTTCACATATATATATATATATATATATATATATATATATATATATATATATTACATGAATCATTCATACCAAAAGTAGATTAGTAAATTAATGTATAAATGGCGAGAAAAACTTCGCAAACAAATTTTTAAAATTGCTTTAACCTACGAATCACTCGATGAATTTTATGATCCTTGTTTTTAATAACTTCAAGTTGGATAAGTTCTTTTTTTTTATTCTGCTAGTACTTTCGGTAGTACATTCAGTCATCCTCAGGCATGGAAATTATTTTGTTTTTAGTAGATCTAGGTAAGAGCGGACACGAAAAATTAAATGCGAATCGAAATATGTCTTTTTTAGAAATGTGAAAGTTTCTTAGATATTCAGGTCGGTAAATGTTGTTTAATACTGTTTATTATAAAACAGAGCATTTACTTAAATATTTGTATCTATAGACAAGAATGTATAAACATAAAAATTTCTTAAAAGAATTGTCGGACTTTGTCCATTTCATAATATATATATATATATATATATATATATATATATATATATATATATATATATATATATATATATATATATTTTGTGTGTGTGTGTGTGTGTGTATGACGAGAGGGAATTAATTCAATTTACTAAATGTAAATAGCATGTTGATATATGTGTGTGTTCGTGTTATTGATGGGTTCGTTTTTTTGTGTGTTCTTGTGATTGGAATGATTGCGCATGTTCGCACACTCTGCATAATGATGAAAAAAACATTTGTTTCTAGTAATAAATATTCATGTTTCAACATAATTGCTGCCTCTGTTAATGAACTGTTAATTGGGGATTATTTTATAATGAAAATTTTACATCAAGTTTCGCTTATAAACTACGTTTCAGGCTATCTATCTATCTATCTATCTATCTATCTATCTAAGTCATTCAATATCTATTTATCTGTTAATATCTATCTCAGTCATTCAATATCTATCTATCTATCTATCTATCTATCTATCTATCTCAGTCTTTTAATATCTATATATCTATCGCAGTTTTTTTTAAATATCTATCTATCTATCTATCTATCTATCTATCTATCTATCTATCTATCTATCTATCTCAGTCTTTTAATATCTATATATCTATCTATCTCAGTTTTTCAATATCTATCTATCTATCTATCTCAGTCTTTTAATATCTATATATCTAACTATCTCAGTTTTTTTTAATATCTATCTATCTATCTATCTATCTATCTATCTATCTATCTATGTTTGCTTTCCCCTCTTAAACCATTACTGAGATTTAAATCAAATTTAAACTCTCTCAATCAAACCATACGTTCTCATGTCAATAAATCGTTCGGACCTCCTTTCTTTATCGGATTCTTCTTGTTCTACTATGTTTTTAACACGGACTCAATTTCCAACTCTCGCTTTCCCCCTTCTAATTTCACTTTCGCTTTCAAGCCACTCAAGATCCGATTTCGAAAAAAAAAAAAAAAAAAAGGTAACAAATAAAGATTCCACCCACTCCTTCTCCTACACCATCTTCCTCATCCCTCTTGCTGATCACTTAGCAGCAAACAATTTACACCGACAGCAGCGGCAGTTTTATGCAATTTATCCAAATAATGTGATTAATGCTAGTCAGTGTTACGTCCAGGCTCCACCCACTACCCCTCTTTCCGGGCCCCTACCATTACAACGAATGCTCTATGCCAGTTTCCGCTTTATTCTCAGTTATCATTTGGAAAGAAACATTCTTTGCAATCGTTTTCATTTTTTTCTTTTTTTTTTTTTTTGATGTAGAAACTCATTTTCACACCCATCCCCTCTGAAACGGAATCAGTCGTTCACAATTTATTTGTTTCTCTTATTGACTCTCTGTCTTTTCTTGGACGTTTAGCGGTGACCAGTTAGGATGTGATATCTATCTCAGTCTGTAAATTATCTATCTATCTATCTATCTATCTATCTATCTATCTATCTATCTATCTATCTATCTATCTCAGCCTGTTTACATCTATCTATCTATCTATCTATCTATCTATCTATCTATCTATCTATCTATCTATCTCAGCCTGTTTACATCTATCTATCTATCTATTTATCTATCTATCTCAATCTCTTCACATCTATCCGTCTCAGCCTGTTTACATCTATCTATCTATCTATCTATCTATCTATCTATCTATCTATCTATCTATCTATCTCAGCCTGTTTACATCTATCTATCTATCTATCTATCTATCTATCTATCTATCTATCTATCTATCTATCTGTTCACATCTATCCAGATCAGCCTGTTTACTTCTATCTATCTATCTATCTATCTATCTATCTATCTATCTATCTATCTATCTCAGCGTGTTCACATCTATCTGCCTATCTCAACTTGTTCACATATATCTATCTCAACATTTTCATACGAAATTTCTTTTTTGTTTGTTTGTTTCTTTCTTTGCTTCCTTCCTTCCGACCTTTCTTTCTTTCTTTCTTTCTTTCTTTCTTTCTTTCTTTCTTTCTTTCGTTCGTTCTTTCTTTCGTTCTTTCTTTCTTTCTTTCTTTCTTTCTTTAA